ATTGGGCCACGTGGGCCTGGGCTGGGTAAGGGGAATATGGGTGTGGGCCGAGTAGGCCGGGTGAGGGAGTAGGGAACTGCCAGGGATTTGGGCCTCCGAGTTGTCATTTATTCGGGCCACTACGTCCATGTCCACGTCCGCGCCCTCGATAGCCGTTAGGGTTGCCCCGATTGGAATTTCCGAAGCTGCCACGCCCTGAGGATTGTCCGCTGCTACCCTGCCGCGACTGACCCCCGCCCGCCAAAGGACTGCCGCCGTCGCCGTTGAAGCTGAGGAGGGCGGTGGATGGGCCGGCGTTGGAGAGGGCGCCGGCCTGCTGCTGTTCGACCAAGAGGAGGGCAGATCGGACCTCCAAGAATGTCGGGAACGGGTTTTGATACTGCAAAAAATGAACCTGACCCCGGATGTCATGCGGCAAGCCTTGAAGAACTTGGAGAACAAGCGCGTGTTCCGTCACCGGAGCATCCACGTCGTCAAGGTAGTCGGCGAGATTCTTGAGAGTATGACAATATTCATTTATTGTCTTTGTGCCTTTGACGGTAGTGCGGAAACGATGCTCCAATTGCATCGCTCGAGCATGCTTGTTATCATGGAATAATTTGTAGATTGCCTTCCAAAGAGCGTAGGAGGTGGGGCTGTTGGCAAGGACGAGGTTAGATACCTCATCTGAGACGGTGGATAAAATCCATCATTGAAGAAGAGCGTCGAACTGGTACCACTCGGCATCGTCGGCCGATTTGGCGACGATAGTGCCTTCGAGATATCCCATGAGATTGAAACGGAGGACGAGGAGGCGGAAGAGACGACTCCACTTTTTGTAATTTGGCTCTGAGATGCTAAGTTGAACGGGGATATGGAGTTTGATGTTTGAGATTGTCGTGAAGGCAAGGTGGGGAGATTTGGGGGTGTTGGTGTTGTCGGAGGAGACAGAGGAGACTTCGGCCATGGTGAATCTTGGAGAGAAAAGGAGAAGGCCGAGAGAGACAGGCGACGATTAGCAGTGGGAGATCGCCGAGAGGAGAGAGAGGGCCGAAGAACAGGAGAGAGAGCCGTGAGAAAATTACAGCTCCGATACCATGAATAATTGATATTTTCCAATAATCAAAATGTGTAAATACAAGGGAGAATATATAGTAGAGTATTCCTAGATAGTTTAGGAAACCTACCATGTTAGGAATCCTTAACTAATAAGGACTAGACATGTATGGAAACTACAATATATATGTTTAATATATTTAACAATATATATATATATATATATATATATATATATACACACACACAGAGAGAGAGAGAGAGAGAGAGATAGAATGTCTAAAAACATTATGAAATCAAAATTTTGAAAAAAGTGTTCAATGTTTTCATGCAAATACTCTCTTTCTAAAATTATTTTTTTTGCTTTTCGTTTATTAAAAAATTCAATTAAAAAAGGAGATACTCTACTTACCACTAGATAAATTTCTTACTCGGTACTAATATAATATATGAAGTAATTTATTAAAATAAAATGTGTCACTGTGATTTGTGTGCTTCCACATATAGTATTTATAATTTATCATTTCAATATCTCTGACTCAATAAATAAAAAAGGAATGTTAAATGTGTAATATTTTTTTAATCATAAAATAATTAGAAAAATAAATTACATATAGAAATATATATATATATATATACATATATATATATATATATATACGTATATATATATATGTGTGTGTGTGTGTATATATATATATATATAAAAGTAACTAAGGAACATGTGTTTCAAAATGTTATCAAGTGCTGGTAATTTAGATTTTATACGATTCTAACTCTTATAATTTACTCTTGTCTCGTCTAGGATCATTTACCAATTTTTCCTATCTCAAATTTAGAATTTTTTCACAACTTTTAATATAAATTTCTCTCTCTCTCCATACACACACACACGCACAGAGAGAGAGATATAATGTCTAAAAACATTATGAAATCAAAATTTTGAAAAAAGTGTTCAATGTTTTTATGCAAATACTCTCTTTCTAAAATTATTATTTTTGCTTTTCGTTTATTAAAAAATTCAATTGAAAAAGGAGATACTCTACTTACCACTAGATAAATTTCTTACTCAGTACTTATATATATTTTTGTTTAAATGGAGTTGGTTTTAATGAAATCAAATGTTGGAGATTTCCAAACCATAAAATAGTTTTGAAATTAGGAGAACTAATAATGTTATTAAAGAACATTGATCAAATATCTAGATTGTGTGATGATACAAGATTGATCGTTGAAGATTTGTGCAAAAAAATGTCACCTGTATAATTGTTGTATTGGGAAACAAAGTCGGGGAGAATGATATGTTTACATACCCAAATGAATTTGGTGATGTATGATCTGAGATTTTCTTGAAGTTTCAAAGAAAATATTTTCCAATAACTTTATGTTTCGCTTCGATTATTAATAAAAATTAAGGCGAAACATTTTGTTGGATTTTTTTTAACCAAATTGTTATTCATCCACGACCAATTTTATGTTGGTGTTTTGTAAGTGAAAACAAAGTCAAGATTGAAATATTAGTTTTAGATATTAACGGTAGCCCTTACAATTTCATAAAAAAATGTTGTATACTTCGATGTTTTTTCAAAAAATTAGGATTTAAATAGGTCATCGAGGTGTTCATTTCCAATCTTATATAAAAGCATTTTTATTAGCAACTCTATTATATCCTTTGTTTAAGTTTTAATGTCAATATTTTATTTTGTTGGATTTCTTAACTAGTAGCATTAAAGAAACATTACACAATAAAAAATATTCATTCAATTTCATGCATAACACACATTAAAGACTCTCTTTTCAACTTTATCATTCGGATAGACAAAAAACCGGAAAAGTTTGAAATTGTGTCTTTAATCCTAGACTCACTTTAAGATTCTCAACTCCATTCATCTAATAAAAATCAAAGACATGTAATCAATAATAATTGTTTTTTGAAAAAAATAATTATTTTGTAATAAACTCCCTAACTGTAAAAAAAAACTCAATCGCCAATTCTGTCTGCTTATATAATTTCATATTTTTATGCTTGTTTTTTGTAATTTTTATTCTATGCTATTTCATATTATATTTTTTTAGGTACAAAACACATTCTTTTATGCAATTTTTTACGAAGTATTTTATTTTTTGGGAACAAAATACAGAAACACATGGAGCAAATGCCATGCCATTTTACATTTCAATTATGTTTACTTATGTATCGATGTACTCCTCAAATTTAATTTGTTGTGTTTTAAATTTTATTTTATGTATTTTATATTTTATGAAATGTACTTATTTTATTTTTTGTGTTTCAATTTTATATAATTTTCTCTATAGCTTTATTTTGTTGACTTTCTTAATGGTTAAATATATTTATAAATAAGTTTGGTAGAAAAGATACTGTATAATACAATTATATATCAGATAACTAATTAAATAGAAATAAAAATTAATATAATAAAACTATTAGAACACTGATGTGACAAAGTTTAAAAGAGTCAAGATTAGAGTAAGTTTTCTGAAAGTTTCAAGAAGAATTTAAAATACTAAAATGCTGACGTAAGAAAATCTAAATGAGTCTTGCATGGATTCATATTGAATTATTGATATATACTCCCTTTGTCTGGAAATATTTTTCCCGTTTGACTGTTCTTGGTCAAAGTTTATAAACTTTAATTATGATATGTAGAAAAAATACATTGTATTATGATATAAGTTTAATATCAATATAATCCTATTCAAATGTAATTTTAAAGTATCAAATTTTAATAGAATATATTTATGTATAAATAAAGATATTAATGGTCAAATTACAATTTTAGAGATCATAAAAAATCAAATGAGAAAAATATTACGTAAGGGAGGGAATAACACCCAAACCCCAAATCAAATGGATATTGAAAAATACCAAATCCAAACGTATGAATGGACTCCAATCCAAGTCGAAGGGGCTGTTTGTTTCAGCCTCTTAATGGTTCAGATGTCTGAATGATTCAGCACTTAATGGTTCAGACTGTTTGTTTCAGCCTCTTAATGGTTCAGATGTCTGAATGGTTAAGAGATTTGCCTCTGAATGGTTAAGTATTATACAGAGTCTGAATGGTTAAGAGCTCTTATCTGAATTGATCAGACATTTGCCTCTGAATAGTTAAACAATATACTAGCTCTTAATGGTTCAGATGTCTGAATGATTCAGCACTTAATGGTTCAGACTGTTTGTTTCAGCCTCTTAATGGTTCAGATGTCTGAATGGTTAAGAGATTTGCCTCTGAATGGTTAAGTATTATACAGAGTCTGAATGGTTAAGAGCTCTTATCTGAATTGATCAGACATTTGCCTCTGAATAGTTAAACAATATACTAGCTCTTAATGGTTCAGACCTCTTACTCTTACTGGTTCAGCACTTAATGGTTCAGACTTCTTACTGGTTCAGCACTTACCCATTCAAAAGTTACCAAACAGCTCCGAACTTGCCCTCGCCAATCTCGTTAATACCCATTATATCCCAATCTCCCATCGAAAACCCAACTATCAAGGCAGAGAGGGAAGAAACCCAGACGTTCTTTCTCTTCCCCAATTCTTCACACCCACACACACCGCCATTATCTCCGTCGTTTTACCGGAGAGCTAATTCTTGTTTCCGGCACCAGTCGCTGATCGGAGGGCCAATCTTTCCCCAATCATGACTATGTTGAATCCGCAACCTTTAGATGTGAGTCTGTGTACCCCAATTCTTGAATTCGCATTCCATTATCGTCGCGCGTCATTATGTGCTATGTATTTTTCTCATAGATTCATAGTTGGATTTGTTTCTCGGAGATACGTATACGTTCTTGCATGTGGTATTCGTCCACAGCGGTGGTGGCGGGGAGCGTTGATCGTATTGGCTAGGGTTTGGGTTAGGGAGACCGTCCCGTAGGCTTCTGATGTGGATTTAGTGTCGTCCGGAATTGAGTTCCGCAGTTCGGATTTTGGTATTTGCGGTTAGGTCTAGGGTTTACTGGATCACAGTGTCTGGATTTGCTTCAAAATTTTGGTGTTTACTCTGTCCTGATTTCGATGATTTCAACAGCAGGAAGAAGAGGAGATGCTTGTGCCACACTCTGATTTAGTTGAAGGGCCTCAACCTCTAGTAGAAGGTCCCCAGCCCATGGAAGGTTTGTTCTCTTGTGTTTGAGAGTTTTGTATGCAGACACTTTGTATGCACGTGCCAAGCACTAATGCACACAAGCAATTCTCATACATGTTCCCTTTTCCTTATTTTCTATATGTTTCTTTAATCTGTAGTCACACCAGCAGAGAATGCTACAGCGGAAAATCAAGCTGTGGACGAGCCTCAGCTTTCACGCTATACATGGAGAATTGATAATTTTTCCAGGCTGAATGTGAAGAAGCTGTATTCTGACCCTTTTACTGTTGGTGGTTACAAATGGTAATAGGCTTTGAAACTTTGGGTCATTTGTCATACTACCAACTTCTTGATTGTTTTGGCTAACATTGTTTCTGACAGGCGAGTGCTCATATTTCCTAAAGGAAACAATGTGGATTGCTTGTCCATGTACTTGGATGTGGCAGAATCAGTTAGTCTGCCATATGGGTGGTGTAGATATGCCCAGTTTAGCTTGGCTGTTGTGAATCAACTAAATCCCAAGTATACCGTCAAAAAGGGTATTCTCTTTGTGCTGTTGTGCCACATATATCCTGTATACTAAACCTTAATTTTCAATTAATTTCTGTGCTATGTACTTAGTCCTATTATACTTGAGATGCACTTGTTTTTGTATTTGTATACTGTTTTGCAGTTTTAGATTTTATTTCCTTTGTCTCTGCTGATTGGTGTATACATTAGTCTTTGTACTCAGTGTTATGTACATTGTACACTGTCAGTATAATTACAATTTTACTGTGACTATTTTTTTATGAATGTGAACCTTATGGAAAGGTTCGCATTCATAAGCTTGTGTGCTAGTAAGAGATCTGGTGGCACAATTGTAATGTGAAACAATATCAGCTAAGCTTGTGTAACACTTGCTGATAGAATTAGAGTCATAGATGTTTTTATCTTTACACTTTATGATAGTGAAAGTTTCTGATTCCACTGCTAATGTGTAATCTATGCCTGTAAAAGTTCACCTACAGGGTTTTTGGTGAAATGTAGTAAGAGGTGGAAACCAGTTATTCTTCTTGCATTTTGAAAATCTTTTAAATGCATGTTAACTTCTACTCTCTTCCAGCATCGAGAAACATTGTTGTCCATCTGCAATTGAAAAGTTTCCCATTTGCATGAATAAATGGAAAACAAGATCAGGGATTAGAAATTAGAATCCTTTGTTCAAATTGTTTCTCATCCAAATTATAAAATGGAATATTTTTTTTCTGCATTTTTCGTACTTAAAAATGTTGGAAAGCCATGCAATATGCATTTGCAGAAAAAGAGGTGAATCACCTCACTTTGGCAAACATTGCCTAACTTGGCATTTCGTGGTTTTTTTGACTTTCTAATTTTTCTTTTAGTTTGCTAAATGAGAACTGTAGGAAGTTAATAAAGAAGACAAAAAATGGAAAGCATTTTTATTACGGAGTACTAAACAAGGCCCATCCTTCACATTTTTGCTATGTTGTCACATTTGAAAATGGAGCACTTAAATATTTTGCTCTGTTGTCACTTTTTTACACTTTATGTCTATGCGTGTTCCATTTATGCATAAACGTAAAGTGTAACAACAAAGTGGAAGTGTGAGCATGTGACGCTAACATCTATGCCTTCCACGGACTTGCGTTTATTTAAAGATTAATAATTCAAACCTTCATCTTCTCACACAATCACCAGCTGTATCCCCCACTCCTCGAGAATATAGAAGTTTGCATTTAATCATATTTTGGAATGGATTAGTAATGCAACAAATCTCTACCTCTACCTGCCTTATGAATGCAATTGTATATTTCTTGTCAATTTGATGTCCCTTATTAAATTTGCAGAGACACAACACCAGTTTAACCAAAGAGAGAGTGATTGGGGGTTTACATCTTTCATGCATCTCAATGAGATCTATGACCCTAGCAAGGGTTATCTTGTGAATGATTCAATCGTGATTGAAGCTGATGTTGTAGTGCGGAAGGTGATTGATTATTGGACATATGACTCCAAAAAGGAGACTGGTTATGTTGGGCTCAAGAACCAGGGAGCAACTTGTTATATGAACTCTCTTCTTCAAACTCTATATCATATTCCTTACTTCCGTAAGGTCGGGATATGATTATAGTTATTTATCACTCTCTTGTCTTTCTCATGATATTTTAGAGTGGAGCACATCTAATGTGTTGATTGTTATCTGTCAGGCTGTTTATCACATGCCAACTACAGAGAATGATATGCCCTCTGGAAGCATTCCTTTGGCTCTGCAGAGTTTATTTTATAAGCTTCAGTATAGTGACACTAGTGTAGCAACAAAAGAATTGACAAAATCATTTGGATGGGACACGTATGATTCTTTCATGCAGCATGATGTCCAAGAACTCAATAGAGTGTTGTGTGAAAAGCTTGAAGATAAGATGAAGGCATGATATTTGGATATTTCCTTTCTTAAATATGCTGGTCTTATTGTAAATGTTTTATCTAATATTAGGTGAATTACTCTATTGGTCCAGGGTACAGTTGTGGAAGGGACAATACAAAAGTTATTTGAAGGGCATCATATGAATTACATCGAGTGCATAAATGTGGACTTTAAATCCACAAGAAAAGAATCATTTTATGGTATGTAATTTCTTTTCCTCTGGACTTGACTGCACAATCTGATTTAAATTATGAGTTGTATTGTATCCGCTTCTGCAGATCTTCAGCTTGATGTCAAGGGGTGTCGTGATGTATACGCTTCTTTTGACAAATATGTTGAAGTGGAACGACTTGAGGGTGATAACAAATACCATGCTGAAGAACATGGTTTGCAGGTACAGACTTGTTGAAGAAAGGACTTAATGCATTTGGAAACATTAAGGGCCTGATAATGCAATCCACCCCACTTTCAATTTTTAAAATGGAAACCAAAATGGTCTTTCTGACCGTACTCGATAATGGAATTTAGGGAAAATAAAATAGCTGCTTTTTGGAGCTTCCAAATGCAAGTATACACACGCACACACACCACACACAAAAGCACCCATATGTATGTGTATGAGCATATGCACGTGTGTTGCTTTCAAGCTAAGTTGCACCCAAACTGGACGAGTACTCAAACGGGTGTGGGGTTGGGAACGGAGAAACACCAAAGTTTCAAAATTTTAAGAATATGGCTCTCGGGGTGTTCCCAGTTATCCGAACCAGGATGATATGGATGTTTCGGGGATGGAAAGTGCCACTTGAATCCGTGCGACATTTCTCCGATGTCATTGCTGCAGTCCCGCCTACTTGTTAGTTGTTACACACTAGGTAACCTTTGCTACCCAACTATGTATCATTGCTACCACTATTACTAATATAATCCCACCCTTTCCCCCATCAAGATCTTCTCATCCATGCTAATGTAGTAAACCTGTAATATACTACCACTGCCAGTCATTTCCATTGCTTTCACCACTGAAATCTAATGCTCCCTACCTTACCTCCTTTATCTACCAAACTTTCTTTTATCCTTTCCCCCCATGAAGATCTTCCCATCCATGCTAATGTAGTAAACTAGTACTCCCTCGTCTGAAAATAATCTTCCCATTTGACTTTTTTTGGTCAAAGTTTGTAAACTTTGACTATGATATGTGGAGAAAATACATTGTATTATGATATAACTTCAATATAAGTATATTCATTTTGAAATATAGTTTTCAAATATCTAATTTTTATAAATTATATTCATGTATGAATAAAGATATTAGTGGTCAAAGTGCAATCTTGGAGACCGTAAAAAGTCAAATGGGAAGAACATTTCCGGACGGAGGGAGTAATATACTATCACTGCCAGTAACACCATTTCCATTGCTTTCATCACTTATATCTAATGCCCTTACCTTACCTCCTTTATCCACAAACCACATTCTTTTATCTATTTTTTCACTTCCATCTTATTTAGTTCTCCAATGGCAAGAAAAAACTTTGAAAGTGATAGACTAAGATGAAAAATAGAAAACTATATCTTTTACTCGGTATGCTCTGAACTGCTCAATGATTGTCATGAAGCTGT